GCCGGCGGGAGAAGGGCGTGGCCGAGGTCGAGGGGCCGCCGCTGCGTCGCCTGGCCCGAGGAGGAGTAGTATTATTATTAGTATAGTAGTAGTAGTAGTAGTAGTAGTAGTAGTAGTAGTAGTAGTAGTAGTAGTAGTAGTGCTGCATCGCCTGGCCCGCGGGGGCGCCGGACGGCAGCAGCCGCGCAGTGTCCGACTCGTCCTCCCCGGCTGCCGAACCGCTGTGGTGTCCCAAAGGGGCCGCCGCCGGCGGCGGCGGCAGGTAGGAGAGCTGGTCGAGGCTGCCGCCAAACGAGGGCGGGCGGCTGGGGTGGCGGCCCGCGCCTACTCATTCATACTGACCGACTAAGGATCAAGGAGGGATGACTAGTAGCAGAGGCTGGGGTGCGGCCCGCGCCGTGCTCGACCGCCCTTTGCCCTGCCGAGGTCGACTCGAGGGCTCGGATCAGCTCGCGCTGCAGCGAGACCTGCGAGGCGAGAGATGGGCGAGAGGTGGGCGAGAGATGGGCGAGAGGTGGGCGAGAGGTGGGCGAGAGGTGGCCGAGAGGTGGCCGATCAGCCTCGCGCACAAGGGGCGGGGGCTCCGAGCACTTTTGTCACAGACCTGCGCCATTCGCATCGAGTTGAGCCGCTGGCCGGGGTTGGACGCCTAGAAAACGAAGCACACACGCCCCTCACACATCCGCATCGAGTTGAGCCGCTGGCCGCGGTTGTACGCCTCTGGCAACTCGGTGCTGTAGCCCGGCACGCGCCGCTCGTCGATCGCCCGCAGCAGCTCCTTCCAGCGGCGCTGCGCCCGCGCGCGGCGACCGACAGAGGTGGCCTCCTCCTCGTCGCCCTCTAGCCCGCGCTTGCGCGGCGAGGGCAGCGACGAGATGTTGGACGCGTCGGCGGCGAGCATGTCTGCAGACTTGATGATGAAGGACAGCCGCTCGACGAGCTTGCCGGTGCGCGAGATCATGTAGATGGACATGCGGCGCGAGACGAGGAGGCACGAGACGAGCGAGAGGAAGAGCGTCGACAGCGCCACCGCCTCGAAGAAGGAGAAGACGATCACGGCCATGCCACTGTCGTTCAGGTCAAAGTTGCCCTCAATGATCGCCGACATGCCGACGCCAAACATGAGGATCGAGGCGAGCATCAGGTTGTTGAACTGCCCGTTCCGCTGCTCCCACACGTCGCGGTCCGCCTCCTTGGCTGCCGCGAGCAGCTCGGCGATCAGCTGCTGGTAGTGGTGCTCGGCCGCAGCCGCGAGCCCACGGACGTGCAGGTCCCGATCGACCTGGACGGCGTTCTGGTGCGTCTGCCGCGTCTCGTGGATGCTCCAGAACGAGGCGCCCAGGCTGAGGAGGTCCAGCGCCGACTTCATGCAGCGAGGCGAGGAAAGTGGTGGAGGTGGCGCCGGACTCCTCGCCGACGAGCGCCAGCTGGCCCAACTGGAAAAAGAAAACCCGCTGAGTGCCCTCCCGGGGCGGGGCGGTGGGCGGGCGCGCGGTGCAGTGCGGCGTGTGTGTGCGAGTGAGTGACTGCTACCAGCGACCATGGGCTTGTATTATTAATAGAAGGCTGTATGAGCGGACTCGGCATGGTGTGCGGCCGGCCCTGCGCCACCGCCACGCTCCGGTGGGTGTCGGTCGTGGGCCTGACGCAATGAGATTCGCCCCGTCCGTAACGTCTAACCGCCCGCCGCGCATAACTGACTCCTCATCACCTCCCTGCTAACATACACTAACCGCCCGCCGCGCTAACTGACTCCTCATCACCTCCCTACGAACATACATATGTAGTAAGGTGAAGAACAGTCAGGCTCGGACTGGACACCAACGCGGTATGGGTGGACGCAAGACAGATGATGACGACACGCACGAGCGACACACAGACACAAACAAGCTCACTCCGGTCGCCCTCGTGCGTCCGCTGCCGCCGTCGCATCTGCTCAAGCGTGGACATCACCCAACTTGGATGATCAGTGCACAGCCGCTCGGCGTCCGCGATGTCTTTAGCAGCTTGTGGATACGTCAGCGACGGTCGGAGCGCGTCGAGCGCGGCAAACTCAGCCGCACCCTCAAACATAGCGCGGCTAAACAGGCCGTCAGCCCACGAGGCGGGCCCGTCCCTGGGTTCCAACTTTTTCCGGGGTGTGGTATGGTAGCCTCGCGGCCCAAAGGGTGGGGGGGTATGGTCCTGACCGCCCATCCCCGGTCTCCGGGAGGCTGGGTCTGTCAGCAGGCGGGGGGGGTATGGTCTCGAGGTGGGTTGCGCGAGGGTACCATACCCCGCAAAAAGTCCGAACCCTGCGTGGAACGTAAGAGGAAGAATCTCACAACAAAACTCCCTCGCACAACACTGGGCACGGGACTGGCGCGCACTGGCACTAACACAGGAAGAAGCAAAAAGAGTTTTACAACAAAAGGCGGTCGCACGACACGATTCACGCGACAGGTGAGGCGCGGGCGACGGCTTCCTGAGAAGCTGGGGTCGCGCCCAAACTGTAAAAGAAAAATTTTGTAGAGGCCTCAGCTTCGCAAAAAAGACCCGATGCGCGGCGGCCTGCGACGGCCCGGGATGAGCTCCCCACGATGCGACTAAGCGAGATCAATTGACCTACTGGACCTATAGTCCACCCCTATCATGTCTATACTGACTGCAGACGACCACATGCCACACAGCATCACGCACAAGCACAAGACCCGGGATCGCAAAAAAGACCCGCGGTGCTCACACACACCCACGCGCTCGTGCATGCCGAACCAGCTCTAAAAAAATACCACCGCAAGCGCCTCGCCGAGGCGCACAATAGTCCTCAGTCTGGCGAAGGCCAATTCTGTCATCCTGGGCGTCAGCAGCGTGCGACGACAGCGGTCTTCGCTGCCGGTCTTTTTTGCGAGGCTGAGGGCTCTAATCTCAGCCGCGTGTCGCGCAACTTTACCCTCCCGTGCGTTTCGCCGTGCCTCCCCCGCTGCCCTGCTGCGCAGGCGAGCAGCTCTCAAAGATGTGCCCCGTCTTCCTCGCCCGCGGCGAGGGCGAGGTCCTCAGGGACCAGCAGGAGGCGCTCGCGTGTCGGATGAAGCAGGCGCGCACCCCTAGGGTTAAAATCTGCTAGGACGGCGCTTGCTCGCGAGAGTGCCCGGCGTTTGCCCACGCAGGTGGGCCTCCTCAACCCGCGCTTCGCCGACGACGCGGTGATGCTAAAAGACGCGGACCACTTCGCCATTCCTCGTGACGACCCGGCCGCGGCGCACGTGGGCGGCTCCTTCGCCTTCGCGCTCATTTACTACACTGGCTGCAGCTGCGGGGGCCTCTTCCCGGACGCGGTGCCGACCTCGTGCGAGTACGAGCCGCTGAAGCAGCAGGTGCGGATGCTCCGCTTCATTAAAGGCCTCAACGCATCCTGGGGCAGGATCGCGCCGCTCTCGCCCATCACAGGGCCGTGGGCGGCGCGGAACCGCGACTGGACGGAGGACGACTGGGAGTGACAGTCGCGACGTCGCAATCGAGACACTCTGGTCCGACAGCGGGCGGCGGGCGGGGGATCTCCGCGCAGCGCAGTACGGCTCCCCATGTACGTCAACCTCTGGAGTCTGGGACTGTTGTAGACACCGCCTCGGGATACAAAATGAGCGTGGGTATACATGGCACGATTTTCTTTCCGCGCCCGCGAGTGCCTCTTGCTTGAAAATCTTTTTTCCCGACCTCGCGATATCATCACACGGCCTCACGGGGAACTTCACGTCGCCGGCGCGCCAAGGTAAGTTAAGGCAAGGTAAACGTCTCCATTCACACAGTGCGGTGGGGCAAAGGGGGGCGACCCTCGCATCTCCAAGCTCCATCGCCCATCACAACGTTTTCACACCCCGACTCTGGGTCGTCGCAATGTACGCGCCGGGCGGGGGGCGCCTCTCGCCAGTGGGGCCAGAGGCACGGCCACGGCGCACGGGTCTCCGGAGCATATACTCGAGTAACCTTAAGGAAACGGGGTTTTCTTTTTCTCTTGAACCCGCGCGCCGTAACGATCGACAGTGAGATCTGGTTGCTTTCACGTTCACACCGCGTCGCTGAAGGATAGAGACAGGCGGCCCGGGGGAGCGAGTTTGTGCATGCGGCACGAGCAAGCCGGGCCTGACTGACTGACCTACAAAGGAAAGGTCGTCGTGGCGCAGGCTCGGCGGCTGCGACGTATGGCAATCGACTTACAGGGCAATGCTGCCGATCCGCCCCGATCCCATTGGCGCCAGTGTCTCCCACGCATTCAGCGCCGGATCGTACCGCTCGACTGAGCTGAGGCGGCCGTAATTGGATTGGCCCAAATTGAAGGATTCGCCTTCGCCGCCCACAGCATACAGCTTGCCGTCAAGCACCGCGACTGCGAGCTCGTCTCGAGCCGACGCCATCGGCACCACCTCCTCCCACGCATTCAACGCCGGGTCGTACCGCTCCACTGAGCCGAGGAAGGAATCGCAAAAGCCGCCCACAGCGTACAGCTTACCGTCGAGCACTGCCACGCCGGAACGCTGACGCGCCGTCGCCATCGGCGCCACCGCCACCCACGCATTCGTAGCGGGATCGTACCGCTCCACCGAGCTGAGGACGCCGCCGCCGCCGCTGTACCCGCCCACAGCGTACAGCCTGCCGTCGAGCACCGCGACGGCGAGATCCTCCCGAGCCACAGCGATCGGCGCCACCGCCTCCCACGCGTTCGTCGCGGGATCGTACCGCTCGACCGAGCTGAGGTAGTGGTCGGCGCTGTTGTCGTACCCGCCGACAGCGTACAGCTTGCCGTCGAGCACCGCGGCGTGCGAACACCGTGCCGCTGCCATCGGCGCCGCAGCCTCCCACGCTTTCGTTTCAAAGTCGTACCGCTCCACTGAGTTGGAAAGTCCAACTCCGCTGGAGAAACCGCCGACCGCGTAGAGCTTGCCATCCAGCACCGCCATGCTGGCACCTTCCCTATCCGTCGGCATCGGTGCCACAGCCTCCTCCTTCCACTCGTTCGTCGACGGGTCGTACCGCTCCATCGAGCTAAGG